CCCCCCCCTTCTTACACACACTCACTCCTGCTCCCCACGCGCACTTCCAGAGAACCTGCTTTCTTTCAGGAAGCTGTAATCCTGTCTCACAGAACAAGGGTTCACAGAACACAGGCACACCTATGCTTCCTTCCAGACATGTGCAGAAGCCTTCTCAACCCTTTGCCTTTTTTGCATGTGAATGCTCTTTGCATCCGGGATGGCTGTGAATTTTCATGGATGCTTTTTTGCGATTCATCTGGCAACCGAACACTTTTCTGCAGGGTTCTTCTTTCGCTTGAGGGCTGAATGTCTATCTGCTGGAATCCACCCCAAATTGCTGTCCAGAATTGCTGCAGCAAGAGAGGCAAAAAGCCTCCTAGGGTTTCTCATTGTCCAGCAGAAGGAAAGACTTCCACCACTGCAGAGCAGTGCATCTCAGGGGGAAAAATGTCAGATTTGAAACATTTTCTTTTAATTAACTCTCATAAGAAGTGCCAGACTGCAAGACCAGTGGTCCATCTAGCCCAGTATTCCAGCTTTGCCAGTGGCAGAAGTAGATGCTATACAGGGAGGTCACTGAACTGGATATCTTAAGTGATCTGTCCCCTGTTCAATACCATTTGTGGCATCCACCACTTATTGGGTTAGTGATGCCAGTGGAAGCATCTCCAGCCATTCTGTTCAATAGCCATTAATCGATCTATCAGCCAAGAATTTATGCAGTTCCTTTGTGAACCTGTCCACACCCTTCATTATTTTATATACCTTTATGCTATCCCTCTTCAGCCTTCTTTCCAAACTGAAGAGTCCTAGCTTTTGTAGTCGTTCCTGGTATCACAACTGCTCCATGCCCCTGATCATTTTGGTAGCCCTTCTCTGTACCTTTTCTAATTCTACTACATGCTTTTTGAGATGTGGGATCAGAACTGCACACAGTATTCAAGACATGGATGTGCTATGGATTTGTATAATGCCATGATGATGTTTTCCATTGTATTTTCAGTTTCCTTCTTAAAGATGCCTAACATTTTATTGGCTGTTTTAGTCACTACGGGCTGAGCTGATGTCGTATACTTAGACTTCAGGAAGGCCTTTGATACGGTATCCCACACCATACTGGTGAACCAAGTGAAGAGGCTGTGACTTGGATGACTACACAATCCGGTGGGTGGCGAATTGGCTAGAGGGTTGCACCTAGAGAATCGTAGTGGATGGGTCGGTATCGACCTGGAAGGGTGTGGGCAGTGGGGTCCCCCAGGGCTCGGTCCTTGGACCGATACTCTTCAATGTCTTCATCAGCGACTTGGACGAGGGAGTGAAATGTACTCTGTCCAAGTTTGCAGATGACACAAAACTGAGGGGAGAAGTGGACACGCCGGAGGGCAGGGAACAGCTGCAAGCAGACCTGGACAGGTT